TCACTTGGAACTGGAGATATGGCATCAGAATCGGAGGTACCTCCCAAAAAATTAGATTTTATATGCACATATCTATTAATCGATTACAGATAGAGTCTCCTAATTTGGAATGCGTAACGGAATGTGAAATAAAAATAAATGTGCCAAATTATATTGAAATCGGTATAGATTTGGGTATAGCTCCCATATATATGTTCGGCCGATTTCATGTATTTGATGCATTAAACACGCTGTGTGTGCCATATTTCAATGAAATTTGGAATGTGTGTTGGAATTTTTCAAAAAAAAAAAAATGTTTTCCAAATTATATTTAAATCGGTACAGATTTGGATATATCTCCTATATACATTCTCGGCCGATTTGATGTATTTGATGCACCAAACACGATATGTATGTCCGATTCCAATGAAATTTGGCATTAGTGACTAAATTTGGTACAAAAATAAATTTTGCCAAATTATATTGAAATCGGCATAGATTTGGATATAGCTCCCATATATATTTTCGACCGATTTCGTTTATATGTATATAATTTGGAATGTGTGATGGGATTTGATCAGAAAAAAAAATTGTTAAATTATATTCAAATCCGCTCAGATTTGGATATAGCTCCCACATACATATTTTCGACTCATTTTACATATTTGATGCACCCAACGCGATATGTATGTCCGATTCCAATGAAATTCGACAAAGATTTGGTATTTGGTGTAAAAGTAAATTTTGTCAAATTATATCGAAATCGGTTCAGATTGGGATATGATTTTATTAAGAAACATTGACCCACAAAGCTTTTGCAATGGTATTAGTCTAACGGTAAAAACCTACACAACAATTTAATTGATGACACGCTTATATACGATTATATTTCGAATTCATTAATTGCAACAGAAATGCCACTCAACTTCAAAAGATTGCGGTTTCCTGGACGCTTGACATTTACTATGAAATTAATAAATCCGAAGGACCAACCCTTCGTGTATGCGCACTAAATTTGGCATTTTCCTGCTTTTCTCATAGTCAGATGTTCCTAGCATCTTCACGCTTTGGTAGACCGAGCTATTTGTTTGTTTAAGCATTACAGCTTTTCAGTAGTTACGTTATTTGTATTGGCACAGATTTATCAAAATTTCACTCAAAATAGAAAAATGTATTTTATTTTTTTAAAACTGCTAACAATTTGAAATATAATATCATAATATCTTTCGACTCATATTTATACCATATGCATCTATATATTCATTCAACCACATCGCACAACAAAGTAGCACACATTCTGTTTTTGTACTGATCCTACTACTAGTAAATAACGGTATTTAGCAAAAACAAAATGCTTCGGTTGATTTGAAGCGTTACTTAAGCGTAAAAACCGTAAAAAAATATAAAACCAGTAAAGAAAGATCAGAATTCGGTCGGGCCGACTATATGATATCCTACACCACTATGCATATTTTGTGGAGCTTCCCTTAGCATATAAACGTTAATATTGGGAGTTTATGAACAACTTATTTCAAGTTCGAGACCGGTCAATTTTTATATAGACGATTTATATATGGGAAGGCAACATTGAATTATTTATTCTTGAGATACGTGAACGTAAATAAACTTTAAGAACTTAACTCTAAGGCGATCACCAAACGAATATATGAATCAATGTGGTTTCCTTCTGCATTTTAAACACAAATGGACAAAGACATAATAAGCTAAAAGGTATCGGTCGGTTTTTGCAGAGGGATGCTTGTACTAATGTCCGTTTATTTAAACATATTTCACATCCATATTTATTATTCATCATTTTAAGCCCTTATGGGGGAGCTCCCGAGGGAGTTGGTCAATATTATCCAACTCCTCTCTGATATATGTCTGGTATAAATATTACAAGGCGTCATATTTGGACTACATCACTTGATATGAGATATGTGATAGTATTCAGTTGAAATGTGCGTGAGGTGCCAGATACAGGGTGAGACTACAACCAAATTCAGACTGCTGTAATTTCTAAGCCACTCGTCAGACAGCTGTTAAAATTATTCCAGTGATAGCTCATTATATTGTTTACAAGTGTACAAGAGCATTTTGGTGAGAATTTTCCAGAAAAAAAAGTTATTCGTTATGTAATTCAAGCGTGATCTCTTGATATTTGGCTGGAAAACCACAAGTGGCTATCGTTAGAACACTCCAGCATTTAAATGTCAATAAATCTTTTGTGTCTCGTACCATCGCTCGTTACCGTGATACTGGTAGCGTAGCCCGACATCAAGAATGAGGACGGAAGAAAACAGCAACATCAGCAGAAATGGTTCGAAAAGTAGTGACTTGATCGAAACCCGCTTCGCAGTGGCCGCAAAATGGCTCGTGACCTGAACATATCGCAATATTCCATTCGACAAATATTGAAAAATGAGCTCGGGGTAAATCCATTGAAATTCCAAAAAGTGCAAGAACTTACACTTCAACAAAACGAAACTAGACTCAAAAGTGCTTAAGAGTTGCTTCGCTTGGCCGAAAGTGGTGAACTGCCGATGAAGAAACATTCGTTGTCCAGCAGTTTGTAAACAAACAAAATGATCGTGTTTACTTGCCAAATAGGTCAGATGAAAATGTGCACCTTCGGTTGGCCACCAGAACTCAAGCGCCGGCCATGGTGATGGTGTCTCCGCTCGTATTAGTAGACCGTGGCATCAGAATAAATGCCGAATATTATCGTGAATACATTATGGAGGGTGTATTAAAGCCTTGGGCACGCAAACATTTTGGCCGCAGACCTTGGACATTTCAACAGGACTCAGCATCATCGCACTCAGCACGCGAAACCCAAGAGGTTCTTCGCTTGGTTTCCAGTGCACAATGGCCAACAAAATCTTTGGATACCAGTCCGTTGGACTATTTTGTCTGGAGTATTTTGGAAAGCAAGGTTGGCACTAAAAAATACCAAAGTGTCGATCACCTCAAGCAAGCGCTTCGCCGGGAATGGGCCAGAGCAGTGCAACTTCGGGCAAATGTGACAAATTCGAACAAGTCTTAACTTATTCTAAAATTTGATGCTATTTCCGACATTTTTTGCTTTCATTCAATAAAATTTTAAAAAAAATGTAAAAAATATGGCGTTTGACTCGGGATGTGCAGTATTTAAAGAGAGTCGTATGCTTATTTCAAATTTTATTAGAGACATAATTATTCAAAATTTTGATCCGTTGTGTAGGAGGTACCAGATGGTGTTGTCCGACATATTCCATCCTTATACCAGATCTTGTGTTAGTAGAAATATATTGGAATGTGAGAAGTTTGAAAATAATCGGACGCTTATTCCCTATTTTTACGGCGTTTTGTTATTTAAAATTTGATCCCTCTATGGGGTAATAAGCAGAAGGAGTAGATCGATATATCTCATATTCACACCAGATCTTGCGTTAATAGAAATATTGCTATGTGTGGAAGTTTAAGATTGTTGGATGCTTATTTAACATTTTATGAAAAATATAATTATTCATAATTTTGAATTTGAGGTACCCGAAGGAATGGTCCGGTCTTTACCATCTTTATAACGGATCTTGTGTTGATAGAAATATTGAGATGTACCAAGCCTGAATGGAATCGGATGTTAGTTTAATGTTTAATGAGCTTCAGGATATATAAAATGTTGACCCTTTTGTGGGGGAGGTACCAGAAGGAGATGACCGAAGTTTTCCGTCTTAATACCTGGCCTTGGGTAAATAAAAATGTTGGGACGTGTGAAATTTTAAGATAATCAGACTCTTAAATTACATTTTATAAGAGTTATAATAATTCAAAATTTTGATCCTTTGTGGGTGAGGTACTTGATGGAGTGAACCGACATAGTCCATATTTGCACCTGACATATCACTGACGCAAATATTAGGATTTGTAAAGTTGGAGACAAAATCGAATTATGGTTTCTCTTTCTATGCAGATTTTTTTTTTTGAAAATGTCGACCTTTGTGTGAGAGGTACCAGAAGGAATGGACCAATATTGCCCATCTCCGAACTCGATATAAGTTTGATAATAATATTACGATACACTAAGTTTGGACCAAATCGGACACTTCCTTCTAGAGTTAATATGCGCTCCAGCCAGCCAAACAGACAGACGCATCGCTAGATCGACTCCAAATGTCCTCAAACGGGTTTGGCCTAAAGAGACCTATTTTGAAGTCCGTTATTTCAGCTAGGCACGTTTTAACCGTATCAAATGATAATTACCCTCTCTAGCCATTTGTCTGAGGGTATAAAAATTGTGAACTAAAGAAGATTTTCGTATTTTTTCCAAACGTATAGGCATTGCCCCTCAGTGTTCGTGCCTTAAAATCTATTTTTTGTTTTAAAAACAGTTCTACGATTGTCAATCGAAATGAACGACATGTATGTATGATGTGTTCGATTGGATCTTCAAAAAAGTTTTCCCATTACAGCATTTTTCAGATATCGATTATGACTATTAATTAATGTGGTGATATTCAACACACAAATGCAATTGTTTTCCGTAATCGACGTAAGTATACACTATAAGTGCTCATTATGTTGCCCATTATGAATTTGAAAGAACAAGTTAATAGAAATCTGGAATCACGTCCCGTCAACCGTTTTAATTACGTACGTCATCTAAAATCGACGAACTCACAAATTTGTAGATAAACATAGGTATCAATAAATTAATTTTTGTGACGCGTGCCAGAAGGGTGTCTCTGAGTTGGTCATGCCAATGACTAAATTTTATTTTTCACATTGTCATCCAGTTGATGAAATAATCCCAAAAAGAAAACAGCAAATCATTTTTTTTTTGCTTCTGAGAATTGTCTGACGATCGCACAGTTTGGGGATACACAGAGAGAAGCATGTCCAGAATATTTAATGTTACAAAGATTTTCTATAAATGCCAAGGCTAGTCCATGCAATAGGTCAGTACGTTGTAACTTCTCCAGACAATCAGATATTCGGGAGAAAATTGAAACGCATCTTTCTGAATTGAGTTATACAGAATAATGCATCGTTGCGCATTTTTATTGACGCTATTGGCCGTTGCGGCCATGGTTGCTGCATCACCCATCCCACACAAGAAGAACAAAGGATTATTGGGTATTGGAGCAGGTGGTGGAGCTGGTGCCGGACTTGGCTTGGGACTAGATTTGGATTTGGGATTGGGCCTTAAGGGCAGTGCTGGTGCCGGTGGAAAAGATGACTCCAGCAGTGAAGAAGATCATGGTCATAAGAAACATGGACATCGTGGTGGCTATGGCGGTGGTTATGCTGGCCATAGCGGCGGTAGCAGTTTTGGCGGTGGTTTCGGTGGTGGTCATAGTGGCGGAAGCGGAGGTAGTGCTGGGGCCAGCGGAAGTGGTTTTGGCGGCGGTCAAGGTGGCGGTCATGGCAGCGGTAGTGGATTTGGTGGTGGCCAAGGAGGAGGTATTGGCGGTGGTATTGGTTTTGGTGCCGGATCGGGCAGTGGAGTCGGAGGGGGAAGTGGCAGCGGATATGGTGGCGGCCAAGGCAGTGGATTTGGAGGCGGCCAAGGCAGTGGATTTGGTGGCGGCCAAGGTAGTGGATTTGGAGGCGGCCAAGGCAGTGGATTTGGTGGCGGTCAAGGCAGTGGATTTGGAGGCGGTCAGGGTAGCGGCTACAGTGGCGGCCAAGGCAGTGGTGTTGGAGGTGGTCAAGGCAGTGGATTTGGTGGTGGTCAAGGAAGTGGTTTCGGTGGTGGCCAAGGCAGTGGATTTGGTGATGGCAGTGGCAGCGGCTACGGTGGTGGCCATGGCAGTGGATTTGGTGGTGGAAGTGGCAGCGGCTACGGTGGCGGTCAAGGCAGTGGATTTGGTGGTGGCAATGGTTCTGGCCTTGGTGGCGGTTTCGGTGCTGGAATCGGTGGAGGTTATGGCGCTGGCAGCAAAGGTGGCTATGGCGGAAATTCGGGCTCATATGCTACATCTAGTGCCCAATCGTCCGCATCCAGTGGTAGCTACTCCCGTTGATATTCAGGGAAATCAGAGTAAAATAAATGATTTTGTTAATTTAATATTTGATAAGAGTTATACGGAAAGAGAATCACCAAAACTTAACATTAATTTTTTTTTATTTTTAGAAAGTATTAATTTCAATAAAATTTGACTGACATTGCCATCTTTTTAAAAGTAGGTTTTTTTTAATTATTTTAAAAAGTATGTTTCGGGAAAATATTGGCACACTTTACATTTATGATCAGCATAAAATTCTAAGTCCATTTAACGATGTCCGTAGTACTAAATTTATTATTGGGAGAAGGAATGGAGCTGAAATCCTGAAATTTGATGGATGTCACTGTTAGGGACTGTGGTTGAGATAAAGAGCTGCATATGTGGTACTAAATTTGTGGTAATGAGGGAAATTAAAGAGCTGAAATCCTACAATTTAAGGTTAAGGCCACTGTAGGTTTCTAGGGTTTACGTTTGGAGACTTTAAAATAGTTTAGGGCAGAAAAATTGAAAACGGTTCCATTGTTCAATGATTTTACTAATATTCTCCAGGGTAAACTTCAAAATAAAAAATTATGAAGACTTACTGGTGTAAATTATATAAAATTTTCTATTATTTTTTCCGTCAAAAGAAAAAATATATGAAACCTTGAAATTCTGAAAATTTAGTACGATGTATGAAGTTTTGATTAAAAAAAGTATAGGGTCAAAGTGCCCGTTACTTCGGGCACTTGCTAGTATTTACCATGACATAATATCACCGATTTTGATTATTTATACACTCCACCATGAAAAGGAGGGTATATTAACTTGGTCATTCCGTTTCTAACATTCATAGTAGCCCCATATAGCATATATACTCATGATGAGCATAAAATTCTAAGTCGATTTAACCAGGTCCGTCTGTCTGTTGAAATCACAATAGAGCTTCAAAATTTGGCACAACAATTTATATTGTATCTAAGATGGTTGATATGCAAAACCAGGTTTTGGTATTGCCCCCATATAACGGTACCTCCCAATATTCGTTATCTTGATGATTTTCGCCACATTTTTTCAAGAATTTGTCTAAAAATGTGTATTTGATGGTTACAATGGTTTCTAGCTCCGGTGGCGAAACATTGTATGTATAGCTCTATGTTTTTGTATAGCCCCCATACAGTGGTTTCTATTTACCTGCATCAACATTAGCTGCTCATTGGCCTTTGCAGACCAAAAAACTTTTTTTATGCCATTTTTTTCTGAATCCCTTTATTTGAATTGTATTTAAGTGCCCAATCGATAGCTGCACATTGGACATTCCTGCCTCGAAAATTTGGTATTTTTTTTTAATTTGGTTACAAAAGTTGTATTTATCTGCACAAGAAAAAATTTTGCAAACTCAAAGAAGACACTAAAAACTACCACTTCGTTTTTGTTTTTGTATTCGCAAAAACAATAACAACACAAGACATAAACATATTCTCGCTTCCTCTCCCACTCTAAGAGATGGTTATGCTGGATAAAACACCACTGATGCTCAACTTTGTCTCTCTGAGTTTGTCTATCCATTGCTTAACTACTTTTTATGAGCTAAAAGAGAACACTCTTTTGTTTGAAGTTTCGATGACGCTAATGGTGAGCATTGCTTGCCTAGACAATTCATGAGAATTATGAATTATTTATTTTATGTTAAATTGTTGTGTTTAATATAATTAAACTTTAAAAGATTCCCTATTGATTTTGGCTGGCTATTACACGTACGTAAATAAAATAAAGATTGCTGCTTTGTTGTGCACGTATAGAAAATTAAAGATACCTGCACTTTTTGTGCACGTAAGTAAAATTAAAGATACCTGCTTCATTGTGCAGATAAATGCAATGAAGCTACCTGCATTTTGGGCATTGCTGCACAAGATGTCGTGCAATTTTTTATTGTGCAGGTAAGCAAAAAATACTGTATAACGGTACCTTCCAATATTTATTATTTTGATGATTTTTGCCACATTTTTCCACAGATTTGGTATTTGTAGTTCATAATGGGTTCTAGCTTCGGTGACGAAATATTGTATATATAGGTCCACGTTGTTGTATAGCTCTCCTGATGTTCGGTATTTTGATGATTTTTTCACGTTTTTCCACGGATTTGTCTAAAAATTGGTATTTAAAGTTCGCAATGGGTTCTTGCTACGGTGGCGAAACATATAATATATAGGTTCACGTTTTGGTATAGCCCCTATATAACGGTACCTCTCGATATTCAGTGTTTTTAATATTTTTGCACATTTTCACACAGATTTATCCATAAATTGGTATTTGTAGTTCATAATGGGTTCCAGCTCCGGTGGCAGAATATTGAACATTTAGGTCCATTTTTTTCTCGGCGTTGCGTTTACCTTTGGGTATAACCACTAAAAATGCTTAAGCTAGTCCCTCTTATTCTCCTATACCCTTTCATGTTTATATGGTTTATGTCTTTGCTAGATTAATTTAAATGTTATCAGCAATGACACGTTTCAACGAAAAGACCAATCAAAGCTGTGTATAGAAAAAAAAAAAAAACACATACATTGAAGTACAACAACTATATAACAAAGATTAAAAGAGAACTTGGCAAGAGTAGAATCTGCTCTATCTGCTCTATGAAATACAACAGCTATATAACAAAGACTAAAAGAGAACTTGGCAAGAGTAGAATCTGCTCTATTTCGATCGATTTTTGATCCCATGTAAAAACGAGGAAAACATTCAAGCGGCATCAAAACCATTTTTTTTTCTGCACTCAAGTGTTCCCCGCTCGGATTTGGCGAGTTTCACTCTTTGTGCAAATTCGAGCGAGTTTTTCGGAAGTTTGATTGAGATGGATTGTCTGTGCAGGTCCACGTCTTCGTATAACCCCAATATAACGGTACCTCCCGATATTCGGTATTTTGATGATTTTAGCTACATTATTCATCGGAATTGTTTCAAATTTGGTGTTTGAAGTTCGTATTGGATACTACAGACTATGACAGAAAATTGTCTGTGAAGGTCTTATAGCCCCAATATAACGGTACCTCCCTATATTCGGTATTTTGATGATTTTAGCCACATTCACTGAATTTTTTATTCAAGTTTCGCATTTGAATATTGTTATGGCTTTTGACAAAAGTTGCCTGTGAAGATCCACGTCGTTGTATAGACCCTAATGTAACGGCTACATTCGGTATTTTTAAGATTTTAACAGAATTTCTAACCGATTTTATTTTATTTATTTTTTTTTTTTTTTTGAAAATTGCCAAAATCTTCCCAAATGGTGGAGGGTATTCAAAGATCGATCCGGCCGAACTTACAGTTTTTTTACTTGCAAGGCTCCTTCATATGCAATAGTAAAAAATTGGGTTGCTGAATTAAACGTGGTTGTACAAGCATTGACGATGAACCACGTAGTGGACGTCCAAAAACTCCAACAACAGAAATTGTAGGCAAAGTTCATTATATATAAAAGTGCGTGAAATTGCTAATATCATGGGCATCTCAAATGATCGAGCCCATTTAATTTTGCATGAAGAACTACAGACGAAAAAACTTTCTGCAAGAAAGTATAAGAATGAAAATTTCTCATGCTTGTTTGGATCGTTTTAAGCGAAATAGAATGGATTTTAAGCGTCGTTTCATAACATTTGATGAGACATGGATCCAGCTCTATACTCTAGAGTCAAAAGAACAATCCAAACAAAGGACTGAAGCTGAAGGAAGTGCCCCTATCTGCAAAAGGGTAAAACAAACAAGTAAGCAAAGGCTATAGTCGTGCGGGGCCGACCATGTGATACCCTACAACACTACAATATATTAGAAGCACCCTTATGTCCAAAGCCATTTTGGAAGATTTCGCTTTTAAAATTATGTCACGGAATATTGCCCAGATATTAACCTTAGCATTTTGGCCATAAACATTTTCCAAACATTTACGTACTCCGTCGTGCTGTTAGTAGTTGTGGTCCATTTTACAGCTAAATATAATCCAATGGTCAACAAAATGCTATTCTCAGGCGTGTCGATTGGCTTCAGTTGTGTGATCAGGATTTTTACTGTCATATTTTGCGATCAGCTCCAAAAGCAAGAGGTCCCTCTGTGTCTCTAAATTTAGACTCATCTATATGATTTGCTTGTTCACGATAATTAGCTATATATATAAATCAGCATAAAAAAACCAGAAATTCGCCTTTTGTACATTTCGGATATTGCTTGTAAGTTATTTTCAGCGTTTCAGTAGAATGGAAATGTTGGTATTTTTTCCCACAAAAGTAGTGGTCCATTCTACCCGCTGTCTTAAATTCTAACGTCATGCAAGAGTTCGTGTCCTTTGGTTTATATTTGTGACCTTTATAATGGCTGCAAAATCAGGAACATTTTTAGTTGTTGGTCCATTTCATCCCCTAAATATATTGCGAACATCTTTGAAAACAATAGGAATAGCCCTTCTGAGCCTAACCCTACCCTTGCGTAAATTTTCGTAAGGATCGGACGATAATTGCAATCTGTGTATATTATCCCAACCTGTGTTGTAAGGTGAACAAATATTACAAAATGTATATTTCAATATTATAAGTCAAACTGAAAAAAATCGAATGCGATAAAAAATATGAACAAATAAAAAATGTCACAAAATACAACAAAATCTATATTAACATCATTATTCCCACCTTTTTATGCGATTTTTTTAGATTTTATACTTTTATGCCAAGAGGGCATTGTGAATTGACAACATTTGTCAAAATCGCTCTAGCCATTCATGAGATATATGCATTCTAGCTAACATCCCCTTCCTTTGTGCATATACATTGTATCTATTTCGCTATATATATCCGATATTTTTACTATCGGCATCTACGTAACGGTCAGAATTGACCTGTTCGTCTATTTGTGATTTCGCGGGCATTAAAAATATTCGCGGCTTAATAGAAAATTTGACTTTTATTTATCAGAAATTTTATGGTCTATTTCACCCACTAAATATTACCCGATGACCATCAAAATTGGAAGGCTTCTGCCCAGCCCAA